TGCTAATGGCTGCCAGTCAATTTGAATTGGCCAATCTTTGTGTGTGTGCAGTTTTGCAAAAACTGGATATAGACCTGTCCAGAAGGTATTTGCAGCTGTTGGACAGAAGCCAAACAGGCTGGGTGATCAGCTTACATCAGATCAACACCTATATACTTGATAAAACTGACTGTCAGAAATGTTCATGGTAAAAATTGTAGCAATGCTATGCTGATCTTCAGCTCCATTGCTAGAGCTGTCCCTTGAGATAAGAACATAAGAGAAGCCCATGTTGGATCCAGCCCATCCAGTCCAACACTCTTTGTCACACAGTGGCCAAAAATACCAGGTGCCATCAGGAGGTCCACCAGTGGGGCTGGGACACTAGAAGTCCTCCCACTATTGCCCCCCCCCCAAGCACCAAGAATACAGAGCAACCCTTGCCCCAGAGTTCCTATCTATACCTTGTGGCTGGCTGGCAGCCGCTCTCCTCCTGATAAGTCTGCAGCTGGGGAGCAGCAGGGCGTAAGGAAAAGCCCAACCCGGGTCCTGCGCCGAAGAGAGGCTGAGTGCTGCAGTTGGCGAGGAGGGAGCCCCCAGCGTGAAGATGGAAGAGGAACTGGCCCTTGTGGAAAAGGAAGTTTGGGCAACAAATCAGTCCCAGGCAGCAGAACGGGGATTGTCCCACAGAGACTCTGGCCGTGGTGCCCAGTGGCCTCTCCACTTCAAGGCACGGGCAGCCCAAAGCACCCCCGGGGTAGAAAATCCTGCCTGGCCAGGAGCTCAGCCGGCTCCTGTGCCTGGAACTAGGTTGGTGGTGCCGGGTTGCAAGAGGCAACCTCTGCCTTTATGAGGCTGGCCGGACTGGAAGTGGGGTGGCGAGGAGGGAGGGGAAGGCGGGAGTGTCGCTGCATATACCAGGAGTGCTGAGCAGAGCTGGGCCTGCCGGGAGCTCCTTCGAGCATAGCCCACTCCATTGGCTCATGCCCTCATTGCTTTCCAGGAGCCTCTCACTGAAGCTGCCCAACGTCACGCTGGGAAGAAGCAGCTCGCTGAGGTGGCAGTAACATGCCGCTGCAGTTGGTGGCACCGACCCGGGTGGGCACCTGAGGAACTCGGCCACCCTGCCGCATGGCATGGGGAAGCAGCTCCGGCTAGGCAGCACGCCAATGCCAGTACACCCGAGTGTGGTTTCCCACCACCACCCGGCACACAGCAAAGCCCATTTAAAGTTTAAACCCCCTTCTCACCATTTAAAGTTTAAACCCCTTCTCTCTGGAGTCGCAGGTAGTGGTGGGGAACTGCGCTCCAGGGCCATAGAATACAATGGGAGATCGTGCGGCGCGACTCCAGATAAAACTTCCCTCACTGGCCTGGTGGGAGCTGGGGGCAGGGCTTGCCACCACCATTTTCCCTGTTCCTGGGCTGCTGGAGGAGCGCTCCAGCCCACTCCAGCCCCAAACGACCCCTGCATATTGAAAGTTTGTCACCACATAGCCCCTTTTCCTTCTGTTGCCCTCCTCCAAATCCTCTCAACAAAGTATACAGAGGAGGAGCATGGAGGAAGAGGTGCTATCCCTTCCCTATCAGCATCAAGGGGATGCTACCCTTGGCTTAAGTGGATATAGAATACACCCACAACTCACTTCTGGAGCCACCATATTGAAAACTCATCTGAAAACTTTGAGGGCTGAGTCACCTACACTGTAAATGAATCACACTGTTTCTTAAAGATTAATTTGTTAATGTTATGTAATATGTTAATAAATTATGAACAGCTTCATATATGGCTAATAATATTGTTAAGGAATCTAGTAGATAACAGGATTATAAGAGAACCTTCTTCTAACATCCTTATAGCTCTCGTCAGACACATGCTATGCACATTTGCAACATGCGCCCATCTTATGTTAACCTTTTTATAAATTGCATGTTATTAAAAAGTGTGACCCATAAAACTCTGCAAGACTGCCGTACAGCCAAGCTGATTTGCTTTGCTGTTGATGCTGGCTATATCTGCTCTCCCCCCCCCCCCATTAATGTAGGTCAAGCAACGTCACCAGCCTGAGCCATTAAACATTCCACGCTGTTGCCTTAAAGGCTTTATTTAAGAATCTAAGCCATTCACAAACTGTTGGAAGAATGCCAGTATAAACAGATTTTTTTTCATTCAAATACAGCCTTGCAAGTATCCAAAACTGAGTCAGTCCCTTGCTGTTTAATTTGTCAAGTCAGAGGATCAAGGACTGCCACTGGGGGCTGTGGCTCAGTGGTAGAGCACATGCTTTGCATAGAGAAGATCCTGGGTACAGCCTTTAAAAAGATTTGAGATAGCAGGTGTCGGGAGAGACCTTAGTATGTCTGCCCAAGACTCTGGAGAGCCACTGCAAGGCAGAGTAAACAATGCTAAGCTAAATGGACCAATGGTCTGACAGTAAAAGGCAGCTTCACAAACTGGACCTACCTAGCAACAGTGACTGCTGACCCAGAAACCACGTCTCCTGTCCTGCCTCTATGTATGCTGGCTATAACACAAAGATGACACTGAATATATGTTCTGGCCGGTGATGCTGTTTGACCTGTGCATTCAGAAGAATGCTGCAGGAGTAAAGGAAAAGAATCATAACGTCATCAAGCCACAGAGGAAAGAAAGCACAGAGCTAATTCTATTTTTCAAGCTGTGAAAATGACCTTGGCATGGTCCTATAAAAGCCAATGTATAGGATAGGGGGGAATTTGTACTGCATCACAGTATAGTCCTATTTCCACACTGATGTTTTGCTCTTTACAACAGCATTGTTTTCAGAATCATCCATATAAAGTCATTCACTGTTTGTCCTGCTTTTGTGTTTTCCCCTGCTTTGCTGTGCTTTTCCCCAAAATCTGTTTTGGTACAGTCTTATTGTAAATATCGCACTAAATACATGTAGGCATGACGTGGATGTAAAGGTATGCATTTCTGCTGGTTCTACCCACATCGGTGCCATTTTCTATATGTCAGCATCCACAGCCACCATTTTCCTCATTCACAGCAGAGAGCACTTTCAGGCTTTTTAGAAATAGGTAATTGACAGATTGCTATTGCTTTATAATGTTAAAATGATCTATTGCAACAATATACTAGTTCCCAATGTTCATTTTTAAAATAAAGTTCCGAACCCTTTTCCTTGTGGGGATATAAAAGGCTGCACATTTCTGCTTATGGTTCTGCAACAAAAGGGGACAGAGACTTATTTTTTATTAATGACACCTGGGAACTAGTAGATTGCAGCAGTAGATTATGTTATTATGTTCCAGCAAGTCCCTCTTTTTAAAAGAAAGAAAGAAAAGGCCTGTGGTTATGGGGGAGGGGAATAAATGCATAAATAAGCATTCTGGAATCTTCTGGAAAATGCATGCTAGCAAGAGTGGAAAATTGCCCAGAGCACAATTACAGATTAGTGTATTTTCAGTTAGTGGGTTCATGGACCTTTCAGCATCTGTATCTTGCCTTGGCCTCTGAGCGCAAACTATTCTTCTGTTCTGCATTCACTCCCACTGTCACTGTCACTTTATTTGGGGGGTTTCTCTTGTTTCTGCATTTGTTTTACAGGAATCTGCATTCAGACCACTTCCAGCACACTGTTGCCCTGCAGCTATTTTTCAAGCTGTGAAAATGACCTTGGCATGGTCCTATAAAAGCCAAAGTATAGGATAGGGGGGAATTTGCAGCGATTCTTTGTTCTCATCCACGTTCAAATTGCTAATCCTTTCTAAAGTAGAATAGTTTCTGCAGGTATTTAAGTTCTGCCCACTGCCCTCCCCCCATTTCCACCTCTCTCTCTTTAGGTTGATGCCCCCTCCCTGTTCCATTTTCATTCCCTCCTTTTCCAAAGATAAAAGAGGATGTGTCCTCCCGCTCAGGCAAACTTTTAAAAGCCAGAGAGAGCATAAGACGGAATCAATATAAAGGATTAGGGAATTCCCTGCTCCCAAATGTGTCAGTCTTGCATGTGTGGGTCTGGATTTCCCCTTTCCTTCCCTTTCTTTTGGGAGGGAGGGAGGGAGGGAGGGAGGGGTTGGCAGTCAGTTAAGCTCAAAAATGTGGGTTTTGCTTGTAGATGCAGGATGCATACAGAATGCATAAATAAACCGGAGGGATGGAAACCAGTGTAGAAGAAATGTGTGCGATTGTAAAGTCAACCCTTAAGGCTTGACTCCTCGGATTCTCCGGAGCAAGCTGTCAGTGCAGAAATTGCCCATGTCAGCATTCCTGATCCAGTTTTGAATCTTCTGGTACTGACATCTTAGCTGTTTTCTTTCTTTTCTCCCCCAGTTTCCAGTAGAGAGCCAGTTTAGTGTAGTGGTTAAGAACGTTAGACTTTAATCTGGACAACCGGGTTTGATTCCCCACTCCTCCACATAAAGCCAACTGGGTCAGTCACAGCACTCTCAGAGCTCTCTCAGCCCCACCTACCTCACAGGGTGTCTGGTGTGGGGAGAGGAAAGGAAGGTGATTGTAAGACTCCCTTGGGTAGTGAAGGGCAGGGTATAAAATCAACTCTTCTTCTTCTTCTTCACCCAGTAGTTGATGAGCTTGGCAGAAGGCCACGGCTTGGTCTAAACAAAAGTAACTTTAAACTTATTCCATGTGTCCATACGTTCATGGGTGACCTTCCCAGCTGTGGTGCCCAAACTGTGCAACTCCCACTTCTTTGGTAACATTCCAGCATCAGTTCTGAACTGAACTTTCTGAGAGCATTTTTTAGTCCCTTGGCTCATTTTAATATTTATGTGCCACTCCTCTTGAACTTGTTTGACTTCCCCCCCTGTTGCCTCAGATTGTTTATGCTATCTTCTGTTATTATTTCTTTGTTTTTTTCAGATGTTAGATTTAAATTATTTTAGTTACTTTCTGATAATTGCCTTCTGGACAGTTTGAGCTGAAAGGGGATGATATACATATTTTTATAAATGACTAACCGTTGTTTTTTTCAGGAATACAACCATTTCACTTTTCACAGCAGATGACTGCATGGTGTCTATTGATCCCACTATGCCTGCAAACTCAGAAAGGTAGGCACATTGTCTTAGAACTATGGTAAACTAAAAAAAATAGCAATGCTTATTCACTTGTACTTAGGGTTGCCAAGTCCATCTTCCACCCCCAGCGGGGGACTTTGAGGGCGTTCCTGGAGGGGGCAGGGCATCCCTGACGTGACAACGTCATGTTGGGGATGTCCACCGCCCCACCCCGCCACCCGCCCATGCGCCAGATCTCCAGAAACGGCAGTTCCTTGCACTTAAAGGAGCCGGGGTTTCCCTTTTAAATGCAGGAGCAGGCGTTTCCCCTTTAAGAGCAGCCGCATTTCCCTTTAAAGAGCATGAAGCTGGCATTTCCCTGCAAGCTTGCGGAGATCAGGCTTGGGAGGAAACATGGGTTCCACACACTTAAAGGGAGAGAGATGGGTGGCTGTGGGTGTTGGGGGTGGGGCTTCCCCCGCTGGCCATCTGGCCGGTGGCGGGTAGACCCCCCCCAAAAATGGGAGACCCCTGTCAAACCAGGGGTTTTGGCAACCCTACTTGTAGTATTTGTGAGTTTGTGTACCTGTGTTAGGGTTACCAATCTGCAGGTGAGGCCTGGAGGTTTCCCAGAATTTCAACTGGTCTCCTGCACAAAATGGCTGCTTGGGAGGGTCAACTCTACGGTACTATACCCTGCTGAGGCCCTTTCCCTCCCCAAACCCCACCCTCCCCAGGAGCCATCCCTAAAATCTCCAGGAATTTCCAAACTAGGGTTGCCAAACCACTGATGGTGGTGAGTTTCCCCCCACCTTTTGCCCCCCCCAACTTGTTGCCAGCCAGCTGGCCGGTGGAGGGAGCCCCACCCCCACAGAGCCCCGCTGTGCTTGACGTGACATCATTGCACTGGGCACATCATGCGGGGGATGCTCTAGCATTTGGGTAAAAACTCTATGGTGACCATACAGGGTTTTTTACCCAAATGCTAGAGTGTCCCCTGCATGGCATGCCTAGCATGATGATGTCACTTCCAGGTAGTGTCATCACACCAGGTGTGGTGGGGGTGGGGGTAGAGCCTCCCACTGGGACCCAGCTAAGACCTGGCACCCCTATTCTAAACCCAGGACTGGCAACCTAAGTGTGCTTGCTTGGAATAAGACAACATAGAGTGGGACAGAGCAAAGATTACTCAGGCTATAATGGCCTTTAATTAAAAAAATTATTAAAGCATATGTAGTTATCTGAGTGAAACAAAAATCCCTGTAAGACGAGTAGTCGATGTACAAATGTCTTTTTCTATTCCACTCATCTGCCTCTGGGAGTTCACAGTTCTTTATCCCACCAGGCCTTATTTGCCTACTAGAAGAAGCAAACCAAAACATTTTCCGCACACAGATATTTGGGAAGGTGTGTGCTCATTAACATATACCCTAAGGACCTTCCGTTTTTCAAAGTTCCTTGTCATTTTCCCAGGCCCCTTAGCAGCCTTCTGTGGCCTTGTTTTCCCTCTGTAGTTGTTGATGCTCCAGGTCAAGGCCAGTTCACCACTTCCTTCCCAGTCTGGTCCATGAGGCTGTCAAACAGAATATGTTGGTGTGGTCTTTGAATAGCTGGAGGAATGGAGATTTTGTTAGTACTGTTCAAACACTGGCAAGATCCTCTTAAGTGTCAGCAGGGAAATGGATTTGCAAACAATGTGCACTTTTCTTTTCCCTGGCTAAATAAATTTTGAAAACAAGTTAGAGAACACCTTTAGTTTTTCCCATGTTTCATCATGGCAGCTGTGTCATTTGAAAAATATGTGCTTTAAACTGTCTTTCTTTTGTCACTTGTAGTACTCCGTACAAAGTAATACCTATGGCCACTGGACAGTTAACAGGTAAATGTTTCTTTTAGCCACTTTTTTATCTTATTGCCACAATTTTTAAACATTTATTTTGCTAAATTTTTATTTTTAAAAAAATTAAGAAATTATCACATTTCTTAACATTTGTAAATTTGTATATAAATAGGTTGTAGTATAATGTTTTATCTTTAGGAGATTCAGTCCATAAAAATGTTAAGTGCTGTTATACGATAGCACTTACGACCTTTCTAAGCATTTTATTTCAAATAAGACTGAAGTGCCTGTTGTATTTAAATAGTTAGTGTGATGCAATGGTTAGAGGGTTGGCCTGGCACTGGGGAAATCAAGGTTCAAACCCTTCCCCCGCCATGAAAGACCACTGGGTGATCTTGAGCGAGAGTCTCAGCCCAATCTACTTCACAGGGATGTTGTGCGGATAAACTGGGAGGGGGATGCTTATGTACTCCACCCTCAGTTCCTCAACAGAAATATGGAATACAAATAAAACAGTGGTAGTAATAGTGGTAATGTCCAAGCCACTGGAGCCACATTTCCATGGTTTCATCCCACAGCACGTGTAAAATATTTGACTTAAAGTGAGGCAGAAAGACTGGGGAAAGGGACCTGGGGGTTGCACAATTTATTTATTTTTTATTTATTTATTTGGATTTTTGCTACATCCCTACATCACCTAGTCTGAAGGCTTTTACCCACACAATTAACCTGATTGCTTGCTTGTGGCCTCTGAATGTCATGGCAGTGTCATGGATTAAACCAGGGGTCATTTCCTGCAGGAGCGCACAGGAACGGAGCTCCAGCAGTAAGGAGCCCAGGGGGTGGGCATATGCAACAAGCCCCACCCCCTACTCCCAGCAGCCCTCAGTCAGAGCAAGAAGCAGCCAGGTAAATTGCAGAGCTCCCCCGGCCCCCCGGTCCAAAACAGTCCAGTGGCACCTTTAAGACTAAGTTTTATTCAGGTACAACCTCTCCCTCCTCTGCAAGGACAGATCGGCACGTTTCCCCCCTCCCCAATAACTAGTAATCCAAAACAGTCCAGTGGAGCCTGAGCTGCGGGTGTTGCCTTCTGACACACTTCCGGTGATGTCAGGGGGTGTGGCATATGCAAATGAGTTATGCTAATGAGCTCCTGCACTTCTTTTTCTACGAAATGACCCCTGGATTAAACCCACAGAAAACTGCTCCCATGACACTGATACAATGTGCACCAAGCACCTCAGAGCAACTTCCTGCTTCCCCTCATCCTAGAGAAGTCAATTTTGCCAAGTCCCATGGAAGTTAGTGGTTGCAGCTTGAGGACTAAATGGAACTTCATAGCAACTAACTTTGTCTGGATTGGACAATTTATATTTTAAATTCAGGTACAAAACACCTTTGTTTCAATGGCAAAATATAGCTGTGGGGGCCTCAGTAGTTAGATGGTAAACACGTGCTTAAATGGTTGTGCTTCCATACAATAAATACTAAAAGCATGGCCCATTCTTTTCCTCTTGGCCACCAAATTTGTGTTTATTGAGTGGAAAGCCTACCATACGAAAACGTATGTGTCATTTGCAGGTCATAGTGCCACACATTTAGAAAAGAAGAAAAATCTAACTATAAGTATTGCACAAATTAAAATGCATTTGCATCTCTCCAATGCCAATCCTTTGTTTTTTCCTGTGAAACTGCCATGCTTGTAAATCTGAAATAGAAGCCTTGCAGTGAAAGGACCCGAAGGCTAAAATGTGGCTGGGGTGCATATTGTTTTATTTTGCAGAAAGATCCTAACAAATACTATTGAATGATAGAATTAGACACCCTGCAAAAAGAAGTCACAGTTTGGAACTTTTTGTATTCCATGATGGAATGTGGGATATCAGATGGACAAGATCAAAACACTTTTCCTGTGGAGCATTGACCTGTAATGTAGCCAACTTTGGCCCTGTTCACACTAGACGGTTTGGGCCGGGAGAGGGACGGATCGGGGCCGCAGCAAATGGGTGCGATCCCACAGCAACATCTGGGAATCGTGCTGCGCCCATTCCCAGCCGGTCCCCAGTCCGCCCCTCCCGGCCAAAACCCGCAGCAAAACAGAACCACCTACCGAAGGGCCGCATCACTGCCGGCCGTGGGATCGCCGGCGCGTTTTTTCGCCGGTGCATCCCCGGCCCCCGGCTGTACTGCGCATGCTCAAGCATGCGCAGTTCGGCAGCCTCCCCCTCCCACTTGTCTCTTCCTCCCCGGCGGGGAGCAACGGCGCCGCAGCTTAGGGAATCGTGGGATCCCGCCACGGCGTCTCTTTTTTGGTGCGACTTTTAGCAGCCGTGCTTTGCCCAGTGTTTTCCCTGCCGTGTGGCAGGGGCCTTTTTTTGGTTTTGCTTTGTGCATCTTACTTGGAAGCATCCTCCTCTGCGGCCATCAGTTGTCAGGTCTATGCCCTTCTGGTTAGCATTTGAAGTTTTTAATCAGACAGAAAAACACACAAAGACAGCAACGATTGATATCCTGGGACACCAATATAACTAGAAATGTTGGGCCTACACAGGTTTACATAGCTGTCCTGGTAGGAGGCTCATGTGACAGACTGGGAATATGGCTACTCTCTCATGACAGATATTGTGCTGACGGTAAACAGGGCTTCAAAAAAATCCCACAGTGTGTTTAATAATTAAAGATATACCCTACCACATTTATGCCAACTGGCAATCTGATATCCAGGCTAAACTGCCAAGTTATGACAAGAGATGACACATTTGGATCAAGTAGGAATGTTTTGCTGACAATTGTCTCTCTGAAAAGATTTCCTCCTGGAACTAGCCTATAAGACTGGATTTCTATCACAGCTATATCAAGGGGAAAATGCAAAATCACTTTAATCAGCCTCTCTACTGATTGCTCTTTTGAGTAATACGGCTTTGGATGAACCTATGAAGCTGCCTTACACGGACTGGGGCCGTTGGTTCATCTGATTCAGGGTTGTTTACTCTGACTGCAGCTGCTCTCCATGGCCTCAGACAGATCCTGCCCAACACCTGTTCCCTCAGAAACTTTAACCAGAGGGTCCAGGGTTGGAACTAGATGCCTTCTTCATACACAGTATCTGCTCTGTCATTCCAGCTGTGCCTAGGATGTGCTGTACCAGAATGTTTTTAACCTAATCAAGTGAATCAGACTAAGTTCAAAGGGAAGGAAATCAGAACAGGGAGGGAGGAGGCAGGTGAAGTATGATGGCGTTACAGTTTGGTGCTTGTCCGCTGGCCTTTTATGTTTCCATTTGTATGTTCTTACCAGTAGTAAATACTCTCTTCTGTCTTAACTTAGGATGGCTTCAAAGGAATTGTCTTCCTTTTACTGGGGGGTGATATTTGCAACGTCATGAAAAGAACAACTGGGTTACAAAGCCACCCGGAGGGCTTTTTAAAACCATGTTCGTGGAAGTAATAAAACCTAAAAAGAAACCATTAAAAGTTAAGTTGACATTTCTTAAACAAAAAAAAATACCATTAAGATGACTATTCTATCTTTAGGAATTGCATAGTAGAGAGAATTTTGACAGGTGCAGGTTTTTCACCTTTAGGTAACAAGATGCACCTGCCAAAATTCCTTTGCTAACACAGATCTTAAACATGCATAAGCTTTGTCTTTGTGTACACCTGTTAAATTTCTACCATGCCACACACAGGATAAATAATGGAAGAAGCAGTTTATATTTTTAAATGGGAGGCTGCTTCCAGACAGGGAATTTCCCTGCAAGGGTAGCAAGACACACACACCCCAAGTATTTGGGAGCATCCAGATGACACCACACCCAGTCTGGTCATGATTCATCTGGCTCCCATATTTTTCATCTTTGCAGCGGAAACCCTCAGGGTGGCCATGGCAGAGCTAAGATCCACATTGTCCAGCCCTTTAAAGGGCTTTTTCCCTTTCCCAGCTGAGCCACACTGTTGCATTACAGTGTGTCTGGGAAGGGAAAGGAGAAGGGCTTCTAGGCTTCAGGGGGCACTGAAGTCACTTTTGCTTGTGTGTGAAGGATGAATGCGGGAGGAGCAGGACTGAGGATCACAGCAGCAGTGAGTGTGAGCTTTGTGTGGAACAACGTAAGTTTTATTCCACTCTCTGGTATTCTTGGTACAGTGTAACTTTAACTGGTCATTGGGGACAAACAGAAACTATTCTGAGCTATTTCAGGTTCAAAAAAACCAACAAAAGAGCATAAGAAGAGCCCTGCTGAATCATCTTGCCATGTGGTGCCCTCTCCCACACATAATCTGAGACCTGTTTTGTTTGCACCCCTAGATCCTTTGGCCTTACACTGCCCTGGGCGAGAGAAGAGGCGTTTATTTTGATATTAAAAGCAAGATCTCTCAATCTAGGCAGGAAGTCCCACCCCCAACACTTTCAAAAGAAGCAGCTAATTGCATGAATATGCCAGAAGAACATCAATCATTAAATCTTTGTTTGAATATTCAGAACTCCTCACGCTCTTTTAGCCATAATGCATTGACCCATGGTTGCATGGTTCAGTTGTTAAACCCAGGAAGGGATATTTGCCCTTCTGGCTACAGATGGTAGATCAAGGTCAAGATCACAGCCTATCCTCACATTTAGGGTAATGCTGGCAGGTTAATAACCTGATCTGACAAATGCACCTACCATGCTAAAACCATCAACCATTTGCTCAGGCTGGAAGGTTCAGCTCCTGATCTATTCAACCTTCCCAGGACTACAAAGCACTAATGTTCTTAGCCAATAGCATTAGTCCACCAGTACCCCACAAGAGGTCTGAGAAAAGGATATAATAAGGGTTATCTCTCACCCTCTATTTTAATAACTCTTTATATTCCTCAAGCCTTCTTATACAGCTGACATGAAACAGTAGGATTCTTTCTTCAAGGAACAGACAGAATGGTTTTAATTTCTCCCATTCTACCTTCCCATCTTTTCAACTTTCTGACAGCATGTCCCCCTCCCTTCTCTCCTCTTAGCTCATCCACTTCCTGATCCTCTGCCAGCAGCTTTAAAATCCACTG